ATTAACACCCCCAAAGAGGTAGTAACTAAAAAAGTGATTTCTAAAACATGAAATATAAGATTAACAGTTTTCATTGACTAAGATGACAAATTGTAAATATGAAGATCTAACCTCTCCATACAAAAGAATATAAACAAAAAGAATTACAAGAAATTTAAAGAAAAATTATATTTTTAAAAAACCCTAGCAATATAGCTCAAAACAAAACAAAAACTACTTCCACTACCCTCTCTTATGGCGGCCAAGTTTAAGACATCTCTTGTTTCTGGAAAGGCTGGCACAAAAGTAGACCTCACAGCAGATTTCGGTAAGGCTATATATTACCTTTAAAAGACTTAGACCAACACACATAACTCAAATAGCAACGTGAAATTATTTAACTAGAGATGCACCACCTACACATATGGAAAACTTTACTGTGTGCAGGCAGACCATTTTGGGCAGGATTGAACGTGACCAATTCTTTATTCACAAGGTACAGAAGACGACTTAGAATAAAGCCTCAAGTAGCACCGCTAATACTGTAAAGACACAGTGCCTAGCAAGATATAGGTAAGTTATGCTCCGCATTTTAGAATATAACTCAAGAATAGGACATGAAAATCACTTTCCATTCTTGATCCGTAAAGATCCTGAATAATTTCTTGTGATTATTACAAGCATTATTTTTTAAATTATGGACTATCTCACACATAAAAGCGACTATACACATATGTGTTTACAGGCACAAATATATACACACTACACACATATATAACATGTTGTAAAAAGAAAAAAACCCCATGAACCTACTACCCAAGTTAAAAATTAGAGAAAATATTAAACTTTTCACAAAGTTATATGACACTTTTACACAGAGGACATGACAATAAAGAGAAGAGACAATCAGACCATTTTTCTCAGGATCTCTCCACTATCTTACTGAATCCTGTCCTATTAAAACACCTTTCTGAACTTCTTCTTCTTTTAAAAATGCAGTAATTACTTTTAATTCCCAGTACTAGATTCATGGGCAGTCTGTCAAGTAGCTACTGGATTGTACCCCAGAAGTGTTTTCTACATACACGTATATTCAAAAATGACATTAAGATCTTTTTACATAAACTCACTATAGAAATACATCCAAAACAAGATAAGGAATGTAACCAATGTTTGCCTCCTTTTCAAACCAGAGTTCCTTCATCCAAAAACATCAGATGATACCAAAAAACACTTTTTAGCTACAAAGTTGCATACAGAGTGTGAAGAACTTATAGCTTCCTAAGAATAAGTAATGGCAAGAACTCTCAGCTATTAAGTCATGAAACCTCATCTTCTACTCCTCTTTGTCCTTGAAAGCTCCTGCCATCACACAATTCATAGCTTCAACTGGATTAAAATCTCTTCAAGGACAGAGGTCATATATTTTATTATCCATCTTTGTGTCCCCCACATAGAATTAACTCAATAATGTTTGTTATAACTACGATAAACTCCAGGAAATGAGTTTTACAAGACCTCAGTCCCAATGCAAAACTGGAAAGAGATGTTTCAGAATTAAAAAAAAATGAAAAAGAATAAAGCTATAACATTTGTGCCATATTATATTCTCTCATCACTTAATTCAGAATGAGGTACTAACACTGCAGAAATAAGTTCGCAAAGAATAAAGAATAAAATAAAAAATAAAAAACATGGATCTTAAAATTCTCCTTACTGTCAGCATGCTCAAATACTGGCAAAGAACCTTTCATCTTAAACTCACATCAACAACTCCACTCTCAAACTATATATATGTCTTTAAAAGCTTTTCAAAAGAGACCTGAATATAAACTGGTTCTACTTCATTAGAATTTAAGTTCCTGAAATTGTACGCACAATTTGCGTGATTGTGCTTATGTTCATTTTCCACAGTGAGGGTCTTTCATCAGATTCTCAGAAGAATAAGTGACGCCAAAAAACCTTAAGAACCACTAATCTAGCATATCAAAAATATTCCATTTTCCAGAAAAATAAAGTTAAGTTGGCTTAGTTCAAATATTCTTCCTTCATATTCATAGAGGGGATCCTTATTACAAAATTAGTCTTTCGAAGAATTCCTTCAGCCCAGCCAACAACTTCCAATATTCACAGGCACATAGATCAACAATTCCCAGATCCCAAAAACAGTTTACACATATATGCCAAAAGAAAATGCAAAACAAGGCACACTCTATCACAAACTGGCCATCCTGTTAGATTCTTAAATACACTTGTATCGTTCCATATTAAAATGTCTGGAAGATCTAAATTCCGTCCAAACTGAAAAGACTTTTGAGGAAGGTCTTCTAGTTTCAATTCCACCCTGACTTGTCTATCTCGCTCGATTTAATATATTATCACTGTCGAGACAGGCCCCCTCATGTGTACCCAGACTGTTTCAATAGGGTCACCTTGATTATTCTCACCCCAAAGCAGGAACTGTTTATTGAGTATTCAATAAATATTTGTTGCATGAATGAAAGAAGATCCTTCTTCCCATACATTTAAAGTTAAGCTGTCAGCCCCTATGCAGTTGCTCTGGTATAAGTTAAACTATGGAAGACATCCCTTCCTCAAACACACCAGCTCAAGTGTCAGAAATGCTCTGCTTACTTCATAAACAACAAATAACATAATCATGCCAACCTGGCAAGGACAACCTGCATTCCACATACAGGTCTGACATAACTGATTTCTACCAAATACAATCCAACCAGTCACATATGCCGTTATCTTTCCAGTAGACTCAGATTTGCCTGACAAAGACCTCCTGAGGCAGCAGGGAATGGTGAACAGACTACTGGACTAGCAGTCAAAACATCTGAGTTACAGTTCCAAGTTTGTCACCAATTTAACGTGTGACCTTGGAAAAATTCTCTCTTTATGCCTCAATTTCCTATTTTGTAAAATGGGAGAAAACACCTATTCTACCATTTTCACAGAAATTTAGAATTACAAAGAAACTGAAAGAAGACTGTGAAAAATACAAAAGCATTATTCTATCATAAAACGTTAATATAAACTCAGGTCAACAAAAAGGCCATCTGTTCTTTACACTCTCATAGTAATTATTCCGTTAAAGATATTCTGGGCCTTCACATTTACACAATTCTCTCTGTTCAAAAGAACAAACTATTCTTAAGACCCTAAGTGGCTTAAGTTTCTCCCACATACATACGCTACACTGTCTAAATATTGCCGTGACTTCTCTTTCCCAACAAGTAATACGGCGCTCCCAATCCCTAAAAGACACACACACATCAACCAACAGGGAATATCCCAAGTTTTATTTTAAAAATAAGCTAACTTATAAGGGGAACTCCATTACACTTACACAAATACAAGCAAACTCTTCCGGAACACTTTCCTTCCTTGCATACACACACAAACACAGCCGCTATACACCAACAGACCATCTGTCTTCCAGACTAAAAACATGTCTTTCCATGTACAAACTAAACAGTAACATTTATTAAACTTCTAACACTGAGATCATTCTGTCTTTCCTACATACAGTTCAGCATGCCAGGGACGCCACAGACCTGATCGTACAGGTAGACTACTCTCAGAAGATCACCCCTCCTGCCACTCTTATCCCTTAACCAGACACAGTCTGGACTATGGGGGATGCTCCAATCGTGTCTACACAACACACAAACTAACCTGTCAGGGGCACAGCCGACTCCGCCTCCACTCGCTTACTTTCCCGCCCCCTCCCCCAAGCCAGGAGCCCGCCTGTCAGGGACACCCCTTCAGCCCCGCCAGGAGGGACTTCCCGGTAAGCTCAGGATCCCCTGCCCTCCTCTCCCCTCCCCCATCCTTACCACCGCTCTCCCGGAGGTTCAGGTCCGGGAGATGACAGTAGCTCGCAAGAAGCCACGGACTGAGTCGCGGAGGGAGTACTTAGGCCCAAAGGCCTCCCCTGGCGGTTCTACTCACCGTGTCAGAGGCCGAGGCCGAGAGAGATGAGAGTGCAGGGAAGTGGGGAAGAGGGGGCGGCCGCCGCCAGGCTCCTCCGCTTCCCTTGGTCCACAGCGGATCCCTCCCGCTTGTCAGGAGGCGGCCAGCGGGTGAGCGGACTGGCGGAAATGCGAGAGAGGAGAAGGGAAAGGCGTGGGGCTAAGCAGGCGAAACTGAGGGGAGGCGGGTCCCGCAACCGAGACGGGGATCGTCTCCCCCTCCGCAAAGCGAACCCAAAATGGCGGCGGGAGCGGCGGCGGCAGAGCGGCGGCGGCGGCAGCTCCTCGGGAGGGAGGGAGCGAAGGGCGCCTCGTGCCCCCCCACCACCCACTCCTCCCTCCTCGCGTTCTCCCCCTCCGTCCTCCCCCCTCACCCAACTGGGGCGACGGAGCGCGCACGCCCGCCCGCACGCGCCGGAGTGTATCCGGGCTCGTCGCTCGCTGCTCCCACCAACCACCGCCTTCGGCCGCCTTGCGCGCCCGCCAGCCCGTACGGGCTGGCTCAGGGGCGCCTCCTCGCACGGTCCCCCACGTCCCCTCGGCCCCTGTCAACCGGCTCTGGCGCGGGCCCTCACGCGTACCTTCAGCGGCGGGAGCCCAAGCCTCCTCCTCCACCTCCTCTTCTTTCCTCCCCCCCTTCCCCACCCCCACGGCCACCAACCGCCGCCACGGCCGCCGCCGCCGCCGCCGCCTCCGGCCCCCCCCACATACCCTCCACCCCTCGCGCGTGCGCCTCCCACAATCCCCCCCGCGGGACTGTTCCATTCCCGTCGGCTGCAGGAGCGGGGGCGGAAAAGACAGGCAAAAGCGGGCCGAGCTTGCCGCTAAGACTGGCATTACCCGAGTGGCGGGCAGAGACCTATGGCTGCTTACCTTCCTGGCCGGGGCGCCGCGGCGCCGCGGCTCGCTTCGCCCCTCGCCGCGGCCAGCGGCGAGCGGGCCGGGGGCGGCCTAGCCCCCCTCCGCTGGCGGGCGGTTGGAGGCCGCGGCGGCTGCGCGCTGAGTAGCTTCCTGCTGTACGACCCGAGCTCGCTTCTCTGCGGCGGGACGAGCTCTGTGGAGCAGGCTTGTGACCGTGTCTGCTGTTCACTGCGTCAGGAGCCCTGATCCGCGGCTCTCGGTGAGGGAGTGGACCGGCCCGGGGGTTGGACCCATGAGGGAAAGGAGCGGGACCCCGAACCTCCATGAGGTAGGGAGTGAGGCCGGTAGGGCCGGCGACCCTCCGAGGGGGCTTTTTTCCGGGTTCTGTGTTGCGGACTTGGGACCCGAGGAAGAACCCGCGCGGTGGTCGGCTTTCTTTTTTTCCCACTTTCAGCTCAGCTTAGATTTCTCGAATTTTGCACTACTGTCTATACGTGATGATGTTTCTGTGCACTTTTACTCGCTCCTCATGGATGACTGCTACATCTTCGACCTCATTAGGGAGCCTGATGTTAAGAGAATAAAGAACCATGTATTTCTGGTTGAGTTCTGGACTCGATCTCCCATGTCTTGTGTGACCTTCGGAAAGTTGTTTTCCTTAATTCCCTGGCAAGTAGAAACGAAAAACTGGGCATAGAAATTAGTTACCTCTAAATCTGCCTGCAGGGTTGGCGTGTGAAATAAGATAATATATGTAGAATTAGCCCCTAGGCACAGGGAAAGTGCAGAGTATTATGTTATTGGTCACGGTACTGTTGATGTTGATAAGGTTTGTGGGTATGATTGGTAGTTTGTGTCTATTGTAACCAAATCGTTAATAAAACAATGCAAAACTAGGCCTATAGGATTTCTATGGTTATTGGTACTTGTTTCTCAGAATTCCGAATGAGCATTTACTTGATGATGGAATTCAGGAGAACTATGGACTAGTAAAATCCACATATCCCAAAATTGATCTAATCTACTAGTTTTTCATTTCACTCAAACAGTAAAGCAGAATAAATTAGGGAAGGGATCTACCTGGGTTTCCCTTTCCTTCACATCTGTGGATTTCTGGGGATCCAGGGAATAGTTTGAAAATCACTGTATTAGATTGATCTCAAAGGTCTAGTCAAGCTCTGAAATTCAAGTAGACACTTCTAAATTTCCCCCTTACCGTATTTCAATATATGGATCAGGTTTTGTTTGCTTGCTTTGTTTTTTTAAGGTAAACAGGAATTCAGCCTTAATTACCTCACTGTATATTTGCTTTTCCTAACCATATTTAAGTCCTAAATCTTAATGGAGTCCATTGGGGTTTTACATTAATCTTTCCTTAATTATGTCATGTATGCAAGTATGTTACCCTATCAACAACGTTTTTAATTTGAGGGCAAGGACTATGGGTAACATTTTTTTTATAGTCTAGTGCAAAGCAAGTCATAACAATGTTGAGTGCTCACTTTGGCAACACATATACTAAAAAAATGTTGAAATGAATGTTAGATACTTAAAATATGAGAAGGGAAAGAGAGTTAACGTTTGTGGAATACTGTATCAGAAGAACATGTGTTTGTTTTTTATCCTTATAATAAACACTTTGAGATGGTTCATCTTATTCACATTTTACACATGAGAAGCCTGAGGCTCAGAGAAGTCTGGCAATTTTATTTTTAGACTTCAGTTTGCCTGTCTCTTAAAAACCTAAGTTTTTCATTATACCACATTGCCTTCATGTAAAATTTCTCATCAGCCACATAATTGTATATGCTACAAAGAAAAAACACTTTTTTTTTTTTTGAGGAAGATTAGCCCTGAGCTAACTGTTGCCAATCCTCCTCTTTTTGCTGAGGAAGACTGGCCCCCTGAGCTAACATCCGTGCCCATCTTCCTCCACTTTATATGTGGGACGCCTACCACAGCATGGCTTGCCAAACAGTGCCATGTCCGCACTCGGGATCTGAACCCGGGAAGCCCAGGCTGCTGAAGCAGAACGTGTGCACTTAACCTCTGCGCCACCAGGCTGGCCCTAGAAAAAACACTTTTAATGGAATTCCACTACACAGGTATATAAAGAAAGTTACTTACTTATAGTCTCTGCCTTCAACTAGCTGTCAGTAACTGTACTGATTTATGAATTGTCAGCCGGGTATAGGCAAATAAGATAGCATCCTGTTCGTTTGTGTATGCCCCAGTGCCTACCAGAGACTAAAATATATTAAGTGCTCAATAAAATGACCTTATTGAATGAATGAACACTGAATTATTTGAACCAAGGAAGGCAGGGAAGATGGAGTAATGGTTCCCCCATTACTCCAAAGATGTCCATGTCCTAATCTATCCCTAGAACCGGTGAATATGTTATTACATGGCAAGAGGTAATTAAGGATGCAGATGGAATTAAGGTTGCTAATCAGCTAACCTTAAAATAGGGAGATTATCCTGGATTAGCTGATAGGCCCACTGTAATTACAGGAGTTTTGAAAAGATGGAGGAGGGAGACAGAAGAGTCAGTGTCAGAGTGATGCAGTATGACAGACTTGACTGGCTGTTGCAGGGTTTAAAGATGAAAGGGCAGCCTCTAAAAACTGGAAAAGTCACAAAAACAGATTCTCTACTAGAGCCTCCGGAAAGAACACAACCCTGCAGAGACTGGTTTTTTGGTTTTTTTTTTTTTTCAGGAAGATCAGCCCAGAGCTAACATCTGCTGCCAATCCTCCTCTTTTTGCTGAGGAAGACGGGCCCTGAGCTAACTTCGTGCCCATCTTCCTCTACTTTATATGTGGGACGCCTACCACAGCATGGCTTGCCCCACGGTGCCATGTTTACACCCGGGATCTGGGCCGGCAAACCCTGGGCCGCTGAACTAGAACGTGTGCACTTAACCGCTGCACCACCAGGCCGGCCCTCCTGCAGACACTTTGACTGGGACTTCTAAACACAGAGCTCTAAGATAACAAATTTATGTTGTTTTATGCCACTAAGTTTGTGGTTATTTGTTACAGCAGCTGTAGGAAACTAATACAGAAAGGAGAGTCAAATCATTACTAACCTCCAAAGTACTCTGTCTTGGATTGTGGTTTGTGCTTTAAGTTAAATGGGGGTGTGGGATAACTGAAACTTTTCTTTAAGCAAAGTGATAGGCACTCAACAAAACTGCCTAGATTTCCAGTATTTCCCTACTGCTCTGCTTCTCCTGGCATCAGTTTTCAAGCTGTAAATGGACAGCTGGGCTCTATGATATTGCTGTATAGCAGCAGTCTTAGCTAAGCTGCCCTCGGATTTCCGCACTGGAATAGAAGTAAGTAAACATTTCTTTCATGGTGCTTCTTTGCTGGGATGTTGTCTAAATGCAATATGGATAAACAGGAGAAGCTCTTCAATATAAACTTTTAAGGTTTCAAATGTTAAAAGAAATTTTTAAAGATACAACTTACTAGAATATCATCAGGATTGACTTTACATTTGACGAGTTATGGGTAAGAATAAGCATAATAGTCTAAATAATTTTCTATTTAACAAGGGAAGAACTCTGAAATTTTTGTTTGGGTACCAAGATTTTAAACTCATGCTTCAGGTGATTGATTGCCTTTTAGCAAAGTAGAAATGTACACTTCAGACTGCCTGTGTTCAAAGCCTAGCTCTGCTACTTGGTAACTGTGTAAACTTGGGTAGACACTTAGGAGTAGTAAGAAACAGATAATTTATAAATCATTTAATCCTTATAACAACCCTGTGTTTAGATACTACCATTATCTCCATTTTAGCAATGAAGAAACAGAGACAAAGTTTAAGTAATTTGCTCAAGGTTACACAACTATTAGGTAGGAGAGCCAGGTTTCAAATCCCAGCAGTTAAATTGTAGAGTCCATTCTTTTAACCATTCTCCATATTTGCCACTCTTTCCTTGTCTGCAAATTGGAGATAATATTAGCTACATCATAGGATCGTTGTGAAGATAAAATTAGTTAATACACATAAAGCACTTACAACAGTGCCTGGCGTGTTCAAAGTGTTCAGTAAATGTTAACTGTTGGTATCGTGGTTGCTTGAGGTCTTTGAAGCCTTGGGCTTTTTCTGATGTGCTGCAGTAGCTGGCAGAAAGGAAACATTGAGGGAGGTGCTCCTTACTCCTACCTTTAGCAGCACAGCCCTTTTATCTCTTTTATATGTTAATAGTATAAATTGCTCTTAGCTTGGTAAAAGTTCTTTTACCAGAGAGGGGGAGAAAATATCTAGCAAACTACTCTGGTTCATGCCCTTGTTTTGCAGATACAAAACCTGGTCTCAGGAAGAAAAAAGGCTTTTACAAACTTAGAACAATGTTATTTTTTCCTGTAGAGAATGTTATGTGAAGGATACTCATCTGAGAAACCAGAGTTCATCAGATGTTCCCGAGATAGATTTAGATGTGTTGTCTGGATGGGGACCCACTGTTTTAAATTGTCTTCAATCTTAGCCTAACACTATTTGTTGCATCGGGGTTCCCTATATAGGGAAATATAATTCATACAGAATAATTATTTGTTAGTTTTAAAGGATTCCCTAGGGGGTTGTTGTTTTAGTTTTTTAAAATTTACTCTTTGTGTGGGTAATAGCAACATGGTTCAGAATTCAAAAAGTACCAAAGACACCACTCTTCCTCTTTTCCTGCACTTACAGAAACCCATTTCCTCTCCCTCAAGGCAACCAATATTATTATTTTTTGTATATCACTCAAAATATTTACCTTTTTATGAACAAATTGGATCTATTTTTCCCTTTTGTATATAGCAGTGATAGCTTGCTATATACATTGTTCTGCGCTTTGTTGTTATTTCTCACTTAATATGTATTGGAGATTCTTCCTCATTTGTAGGCAGAGAGCTTCTGAGGTTGTTTTGTTTTTAAACAGCTGCATGGTGTCTGTTGTATGGATTTGCTGCCTATCCCCTGTTGACAGATATTTAAGTTCTTTCCATATTAGAAACTGTTGCAATTGAATAATCTTATATATGTAGAGATCCCTATGTTTTTATTATGTCATTATAAAAATGGTTTTCGGCCTGGGGTTCGCCGGTTCAGATCCTGGGTGCGGACGTGGCGCTGCTTGGCAAGCCATGCTGTGGTAGGCGTCCCACATATAAAGTAGAGGAAGATGGGCACGGATGTTAGCTCAGGGCCAGCCTTCCTCAGCAAAAAGAGGAGGATTGGCAGCAGATGTTAGCTCAGGGCTAATCTTCCTCAAAAAAAGAAAAAGGTTTTGCCTAGGTCTCATAAAAACCTTTTTTTAACATGTGCGCCTTACAG